ATATAGCTAGAAAAAATAATAACAGAGGTCATCTGGAAGAACAAAAAGTCAAGAATATCAAGGGAATTAATGAAAAAAATGCAAGAAACATTGGCCTAGTTGTACCAAATCTAAAACTATATTATAAAGTGGCAGTCATCAGAACTATTTAGTACTGACTAAGAACTAGCAGGTGGATCAATGGAATAGGTTAGGTACAGAAGACACAGTAGTCAATGACTATAATAATGTATTGTTTGAAAAACTCAGACTCTACTTTCTGGGATAAGAACTCACTATTTGAGAAAAATTTCTGGAAAAACTGGAAAATAAGTATGGCAGAAACTACGCATAGATCAGCATCTCATGCTGTATACCAAGATAAGGTGAAAATGGGTACATGATTTAGACATAAAGGGTGATACCATAAGCACATTAGGAGAACAAGGAATAGTCTACTTGTCAGATCTATAGAGAAGGGAAGAATTTATGACCAAACAAGAGATAGAAAGCATTATGAAATGCAAAATGGATAATTTTTATTACATTAAATTAAAAAAGTTTTTGCACAAGCAGCCAGTGCAGCCAAGATTAGAAGGGAAGCAGAAAGCTAGGAAACAATTTTTAAACCAGGGTTTCTGTTAAAGGCCTCATTTCTCAAAATATATAGAGAGTCAAATTTATAAGAATACAAGTCATTCTCCAGTTGATAAATGGTCAAGGGATATGAACAGGCAACTTTTCAAGGAAGAAATTAAAGCTATCTATAGTTGTATGAAAAAATGTTCTAAGTCACTATAGATGTGAGAAATGCAAATTAAAACAGCTCTGAGATACCACCTCATACTTATAAGATTGGCTAATATTGACAAAAAAGGAAAATGATGTGTAGAACATATGAGAAAATTGAAACAGTAATGCATTATTGGTGGTGTTTGTGAACTGATCAATCATTCTGTAGAGAAATTTGGAACTATGCCCAAAGAGCTATAAAATTGCATGCTTTTGATTCAGCAATACCACAACTATGTTTGTATCCCGAAGAGATCTTAAGAAATGGAAAGGGACCCATTTGTAGCAAAATATTTATAGCAGCTGTTTTTGTGGTGGCAAAGAATTGGAAATTGAGGGGATGCCCATCAATTGGGGAATGACTAAGCAAGTTTTGGTATATTAATATAGTGGAATAGAGCAGGCAAATTTCAGAAAAACCTGGAAAGACTTACATGAACTGATACTGTGTGAAGTGAGCAGAACAGGAGACTGTTGTACACAGTAACAGCAACATTATGCGATGATCAACTTTGGTAGACTTCTCAGCAATACATTGATCCAAGACAATTCCAAAAGGTTCACGATGGAGAATACTATCCACATGCAGAAAAAGAGCTTTGGAGTCTGAATGCAGATTGAATCATATTACTTTTCACTTTTTTTTTGCTTTTTTCTCTTTTTCATGGTTTTTCCCTTTTTTTCTGATCCTTCTTTTACAACATGACTAATGTGGAAATATGTTTAATGTGGTTGTACATGTATAACTTATATCAGATTGCTTGCTGTCTTGGGGAGGGAGGGAGGGGGAAAATTTGGAACTCAAAATCTTATAAAAGTGAATGTTTAAAACTATCTTCACATATAATTGGAAAAAAATTAAGTACTATTCAGTGCTGTTAAGAGGGAAAAATTATATTTATCTCCTTAACTTCTTTCTTGTTTATTTTTTGGTTAGATTTATGTAATTCAGAGAAGGGAATTCTGTTTAACTTTTGAATAACCTAGATCTAATCTACCTTTCGTTATTCACTTTCTCATACTCCCTAGCCCAGCCCCTTGGACATTTCTTGATGCTCCTCACGTGGTATTGCCATTTCTTTTCTCTGTGTCTTTGCATTCCTGGGGTGCATTTTAATTTTATCTCCCCCTCTGAGAATCTGTTCAAAACTCTGTAAAAGCATCACCTTCAACAGGAAGCCTTTCATGATCCCCTGAGCTATGAATGCACTGTATGTTTTGTGTTCTAAGGGCCCTTTCAGCTCTGACATTCTTTGTTCCAAGGGCTCTCCTAGCCCTTATATTCTCTGTTCTAAGGTCCGTCCCAGCTCTGACATTTTTGTATAGCTTAAGTCATTCCCTGCTCTGATGTCCTGTGTTCTAAGACAAAAGTGTCAAACAGGCAGCAACACTCCCTAGTGTGTCCTGAACTAGATTAAAATGTAAGTGACTTGCCCAGGGTCACACAGCTAGTGAGTGTTATTTGTCTGAGGCTGGATTTGAACTCAGGTCCTCCTGACTCCAGGGCCGGTGCTGTATGCACTGAGCCACCTAGCTGCCCCTGAATCTTTCCTCTTAATAAAATAGTCTTCGTATAGGCATAAGCTGCGTAGGTATCCTCCAAGTCTTTAAGCCCTCCCTGATCTGTATTTTCCAGCTTAATTCTTGCCATCTCCATATATTCCTACTTTGGCATTGGAATCACTGATTATAAAGGTATATGTTGGCTTAATTTGGAGAGTCTTAATGGATTTTTTATAGGATTTCTCTCCTTTATCCTCTACAGCAGATGTTGATAGATAAACTTTTCACAACTTGGTTCCATTGTATTTTTCTAGCTTCATTGGTCATTGCTTCTTGTCCTATACTCTTTGACAACCAAATTGACTTTCTTTACACCTGATGCTCAATTTACCTTCTCCATGCCTTTTCAGTAGTAGTCCTCTGTGCTTGGATATCACTTCCTTCTCAATTTTGCTTCACAGAATCCTTCTTTTCCTTAAAAGACATAGCTTAAGTGTCACATTCTACATGGAGAATTTCCTGATCCTCCTTTACTCTTCAAATTACTTTAATGTCCTCTCTTCCAAACTATTTTAAGTAGTGATTCGTATTTATTCTGTGTATACTTAGTTATATATACTTGTTGTCTTGCTCATTAGAATATGTAGGGAAAAAGGATTGTTTAATTCTTTGTATTTGTATTCCCAGCACTGAACACAATGCTTTGTAAATAGGTGTTTAAAATTTTTTTGTTGATTTGCTATCAGGCTGCAGTTATTTTCATAGTAGTCTTTCTGCAAGTCCTTAGGAGCACTGCAGTACAGGATGACTAAATATTCAGTGAAATGTTATTTCTTACTGCTCCCAAATATACAGTAAACCCCACTCTACTAACTGTTGTGAGCCATAATACCATATTGTTAAACTTTCTTTGTTTTTCTCATTTCATGTACGTAGTAAGAGTCACATTGACTATACCTAGAACTAAGTTAAAGTTTATATATGGTCTAATAATTGAATTACCTGTGTCATCCTTATTACCCTCTAATCTTTTCCCTGTTTCCCCCTGCTATCAATGAAGAAGCATAAGTGGCTGCATAGCCTTGATATCCATTCCATTTTGTTATTTTTATTTGTGTGTTATCACCAAATAATCCATCAACAAATGACCTGCTGCTAATGAAGTAGCTAGTCTTAGCTTAGGCTGGTCCTCTGAAACACTGTGTGGATGTATAGAGAAGAAAGTATTTATACTCAGGTCTTAGAAAACACATAATATATGCAGTGATAAAATTTTAAGAGCCTCTAAAACACTGTGTGGATGTATAGAGAAGAAAGTATTTATACTCAGGTCTTAGAAAACACATAATATATGCAGTGATAAAATTTTAAGAGCCTAGAAGGAATCTTAGAGGTGATTATTTTAACTTTCGCATTTTATTGAAGTCCTGAAAAGACGAATTATTTACCCAAGGACTCATTTCATGCTTGGTGGTTGAAGTAGGCTTAATACTTACTACTTGATCATGATAATGGTGCTAAGGCTCTAAGATTTACAAAGCTCTTTCATGATCCTTGTAAGAGTCATGTAGTGCAGATGTTAATATTGTAATTTTTACATAGGTTAAATTATTTTTATTTGGCTCATATCTTTCAAGAGCTTGAACTTAACCTTGGGTCTTCAGATGCTAGTGTTCTTCCCTATATTTTTACTCATTCATATATGAATGTAAATGTATGAATGATTCTGCATTTATTTTGTTTCCAGATGGGTAGATTAATGAGTATTTGTGTTGTAAGAGAGAGATGGGCATAAATCTTGCCATTTAAAGGTGTTATTTTTGGAATGTATAATAAATTTGAGATATCTAATTAAATTCTAGTATTCTGAAAGAGAAGTATATGTTTGATAGCCAACTGAAAATTTACTATTTTTGTAGGATGTGAAAAATTGGAATTTTTTCCGTTTATTTTGTATCAAATTGAAAAAATATCATCTTCATTAAACATACTTATTTTGGCTGCTGGTATTTCCAATTAAATTTGTTAGAATTTATTGTTCATACTTAATTTTTTTAATATTGTAAATTTTGGTTGAAGCAAAATATCTGGAAACCTAGAAGAGATACTTTTATTAATGCCTACTTTCCAAATGCAGTACTTTTCCCCTCAGAAATATTTCTACTTATTAGCCAGTGAGTAATATAGTCTAGCATTATACTCTTCTGACTGTCAGAAATATAAGATCCTATATCTTCTCCAGGACTAAAAGCTTAGGGATATTCTACTTGTTTCCAGATAGATGTAAGGAAAATAATGACAACCCAAAGTACATATTTTCATTTATTTTTTTAAAAAATAATGTTTTATTTTTCCCAATTACATGTAGAAACAATTTTTATCATTTTTTCCTTTAAGTTTTGAGTTCCAAATTCTATGCTTCCTTCCCTTTCCTAGCCCCTCCCTGAGATGGTAAGCAATCTGTTATAGGTTGGTCATGTGCAATCATGTAAAACATTTACATGTTAGTCATTTTTTCGAGGAAAGTTCGAACAAAAAAGAAAGTTAAAAATGATATGCTTTGGACTGTATTCAGATGCCATCAGTTCTTTCCCTAGAGGTGGAAAGCATTTTAAATCACGAGTCCTTTGGGATTTCTTGGATTGTTGTATTGCTGAGAATAGTTAAGTCCTTCATAATTATGTATTTTTATATTTTTAAAGTCTATCCTTTATCTTTTTCCCTAGGTGGCTGTTGTAAAACTAAAAAATGCCGATAAAGTATTTGCCATGAAAATATTGAATAAATGGGAAATGCTGAAAAGAGCAGAGGTAAGATTCCAAATATTTGAATATTTATATAGTATCTTAGAAATTTTTTTTAGATGATGATTTTTTTGAATAAAGATAGGGGATTATAAAATAGGAAAAGCCAATATTTATTTGCAATAGAATTTGGATTAAAAATGTTCTACCACTTCAGTCATGCACTCTATATTTTACCTCTGGACCCTTTGCATCTGTATTTGTTGATTTTGTTTTGTGCATATAGCATACCCATCTGCTGATGTATACAATCCATAGGTAGACTTCACCATCAGATTTAGTCACTTCTTTTTAGCTTCCTGATGTTGCTAGAGGAGATCATAAGACCATCTTGACCAGATGTGTACAGTTTTATGTTATCTACTACTAATTGGCCTGTCAGTGTGAGATGGCATTTCCTTCATTGGTTTCTTATCAGTTCTGTATTATATTCCTAGCATTGATTATTATTATTTTTTTTTTTTAATGAGGCAATTGGGGTTAAGTGACTTGGCCCAGAGTCACATAGCTAGTAAGTATTATGTGTCTGAGGCTGTATTTGAACTCAGGTCCTCCTGACTCCAGGGCTGGTCCTCTATCCACTGAGCCACCTAGCCACCCCATAGCATTGATTATTACAAGTTATTCATTTCTTGTAATCTCCAGCCCCTCGTCCTGCATCCTTTCCTCTGAGCTGATAATGAAGTCTCCTACTTTATGAGAGAGATTAAAGCATTAAAACCTGATCTTCTTTTTCCTTCCACTATACCACAAAACCACTCTAAGACGAATGCAAATAAGAGCAACTCAGAAGTTCCCCTCACCACACCTACCCAACTGGTAAAGGTGACAAAAAAGGGAAAATGACAGTTGTTGGAGAGACTGTAGGAGATCAGGCATACTAATGGGCTGTTGTTGATGGAGCTGTGAATTAGTCCAATTGTTCTGGAAAACACTTTGGAAGTGTTCTCCCAAAGTTGCTAAACTCTACATCCCCTCTGAGGTAGTACTGGTAGGCCTATAATCCCAAAGGATTAAAGACAGAGGAAAGCACCACTTTGTGAAAAAAACAAAAAAAAACAACATCGTTTAGAGCAGTTCTTTTTGTAATGGCAAGTAAGTGGAAGTCAAGGAGGTGCCTAACAATGGAACAATAACTGAATAAGGCATTGTTTAGTCTGGGCAGCGAGGCAGTACAGTTAGGTACTGGGGCCTAGTCAGAAAAACCTGAGTTCAAATCCAGCCTTGGATACTTAATCGCTTTGTGACCCTGCTCAAGTCACTTTTAACCTCCATCTGCCTTAGTTTCCTCAATTGTAAAATGTGGATAATAGTAACAGCTTCCTCCTAGGGTGGTTGTGAGGATAAAATGAAGTAATGTTTGTAAAGTGCTTTACAAATTTTCAAGTGCTACATAAATGTTAGTTATTATTGTTACTAATAATAAGAAATTATGTTTAATGAATAATGGAGTATGAGAAATAATGAAAGTAATGGTTCTGGAGAAACCTGAAAAGACTTGTATGAAATAATACAGGGGAAAGTGAGTAGAACCAAGAAAATAATTTATTCCACAGCAAGGTAAAGCAAAACAACTTTAAAATATTTAAGAATGCCAGTTGACTAACCATGTTTGTAAAGAAGATGTTAAAGCATGCTATCTGCCTCTTGACAGAAAGGTCATGGACTCAGATGCAGAATGAGAGATAAAATCTTTGGACATAACCAGTGTGGAGATTTATTTTGCTTGTGTCTGTGCGTATTTGTTATAGCTACTCTAATTAGATTGTTAGCTCCTTGAGGGCAGAGATTGTGTTTTGCCTCATTTTGTATCCCCAGTGCTTAGCACAGTACCTGAATATATATAAAGTGCTTAATAAATACTGAGTTGAATTTTTGATCTCCCCTTCTTCCACAATGGAGGGATGCAGTCAGGGATAGAAAATAGAAATAAAGTACCCAAAAACAAGAAAGAAAAATGTATTTTTAAAATGCATAGCAGGGAATGAAAAAGAAAAAATCCAGAAAGAATAGTAGACTATTTGGGCATTTTTGAAAATTCCATGTTAAATTTATTATATAAGCTACATGTTTAAATAGAAAGCTATATACAGTAGAGGCCTGCAGTATCACGTACAATCATCTTTTTCTGTTCTGTGGTGTGTAAGGAGATGTTCATTTAATCTGGTGTTTAAGTTCAGAATAAAAAAGTAATGAAAAATTGATTCTAATGATTATTGTTAATCATTATGCTTAACATGTGTATTGCACTTTAAGCTTTGCAAAGTGCTTTCCACATGTTATATTATTTGATTCTCATGACAGCCCTGGAAGGCAGGTATGCTATATTATTCCCATGTAATTTATAAGGAAGATAAAGATGAGAGAGGTTAATTGACTTGTCCAGAATCATGCATTCATTAAATGTCTGAGTTGGGATTCCAGTGCATATTTTTCTGATTCAAGTCTGGTGTTCTTATCTTTATGCCAGTGTGCTTCCCATTACACTCTATCATTATTTAATTTCCAAGTGAAACTTTACTCAGGTTTTAGATGGTGAGGTAGTTCTTCATATCAGAAACCATGCCCTTTATTCTCCTCAAATCTGGAACCTTTTTTTTTTTTAATCATTTTAGTTTTCTGTTTTTTATTCTCTACTGCCTTCTTCCCTCTGTGTGTGTGTGTGTGTGTGTGTGTGTGCGTGCGTGCGTGTGTGTGTGTGTGTGTGTGTGTGTGTGTATGACTATGTATATACTCTGCATTACCCATTCTTAATTTTCATTCATTTTCAGAAAACCCTCCCTTAACTTTTTCCTCCTTACTAGCTGTCCTATGTCTCTTCTTTTTTTTGTGGCTCATGTCCTTAAGAAAGATATCTAAAATCATGCTTCTACTTCCCTTTTTTCCACTCTCTTTGTTCTCTCCAAAGTAAACCAAAGATCTCTTAATTGTTAAATCTAATTTTTGCATTTGTCATTTTCTCAGTTGTCATCCTGGATCTCACTGCAAACTTGGACACTGGCAGTCATCCCCCTTTTGATACTCTTTTCTTTCTAGGTTTTCAGTACACTACTCTCCTCCTACCTATCTGATCACTTCTATGTTTCCATTTCTGGATTTTCATTAAGGTCATGCCCAGTAAGTGGAATTCCTTCAAGTTTCTTTCCTGAACCTTCTCCTCTTCTCATTCTATATCGTTTCCCTTGGTTATCTCATCAGCTGTCTTGGAATAGTTATCTCTATGCTGATGATACTCTTATCAACTTATTTAGCCCTGACCTCTCTGTTTACCTCTAGACTTGTATATCCAACTGCCTATTAGTTATTTTGAACTGGATGTCCCATAGACATTTTAAACTTAACACATCCAAAAATTATCTCATTATCTTTCTCCTAAACCCTCTTCCTTTCTTTCCTCTTGTTTTCAAGGGTGCTACCATCTTACAGTACATCCTTAACTCTTCACTTTCTCTCACTCTCCATATCCAATCTATTGTCAGAGCTTCTTGGTTCTACCTTTGTAGCATTTTTTGTATATTCCCCCTTCTTTCCAGCACTCTATTTCAGGCCATTATCACATCATGTATGGACTGTCATTGTAGTCTGCTGGCTGGACTCCCTGTTAAAAGTTTTTCCCCATTCCAGCCCATCCTCCATTCTGCTGTCAAAGGGATCTTCTAAAGTACACTTCTGACTTAGTCACCCCACTGCTCCCACTCAGTAAACTTTTAGTGACTTCCTTTTACCTCTAGGATCAAATATAAAATCGTTGGTTTGGTTTTCAAAATTCTTCATAACCTGGCCTCTTCCTCCCTTTCCAATCTTCTTACCTTTCTCCCAACCCAGCATGCTGTTCAATCCAGTGATGCTGGCTCCCCTTGCTATTCCTTCCATAAGATATTCAATATTCTGATCAGGAATTTTTGCTGGCTGTCCCTAAGCTTGAAATGCTCTTTTTCCTCATTTCCATCTCTATGGCTTCGTTCAAGTTCTTACTAAAATCCCACCTTCTACAAGATGCCTTACCTGATCCCCCTTAGTAATACTGATTACTTTGTATTACTTATCTGTAATTTATTATATATCTATATGTAGTTTGCATATATGAAAGCAGGGACTGTCTTTTGCCTTTCTTTGTATCCCCACAATTTAATGTAGTGCCTGATACATAGTAGGCACTTAGTAAATGCTTATTGACTGACTATTTTGACTTCTTCTATCTTTTGTTTAGATCTTAAATGTTCTCAATTGTTCCTAGCAGGCAAAGTCATGAAAGGTATCTGATCTTAATCTCTTCTAGTTTATTTGTAATGTGATCTTTTATATTTAGGCCATATGTCCATTTTCACTATGAAGTGAGATATGGTATTAGATGCTGTGTACACACACACACACACACACACACACACACACACACCTCATTCTTACTCTAAAAGGAGGTAGGAGGTAACACGGTTTTTGAAATGGTGGAAAGTGAGTAATGATTGGAATCATGGTTGTCACACATTGATTAAATTTCCTAAGTCTTTGAAAATTGTTTGTCTTTATGATATTGTTGTCATTGTATAAATTGTTTTCTGGTTGCTGTTCATTTTTTTTCTGTTTCAGTTCATACAATTCTTCCTTGATTTCTCTGAAACTATCACCATAATGCAGTAGTTTTCCATCACATTTACATTATTTAATTCGTTTACCAGTTCTCCAGTTGAAGGTTATGCCCTCAAATTTCCATTCTTTACGTCCACAAAAAGAGCTATAAATATTTTTTGTGTATCCTTAGAGTTTGTTTTGCTTAGGACAAACTCCTCCCTTAACATATTCCTCCCCGTTCCAATTTTTTATTCTCTCTTTTCTCCAAATTTTTAATGGTAGGATTCTTCTTTTGTTTCCTCATTCTTCCAGACTACTTCTTGACTTGATCCAGGGTTAAGACTGAGAGCTCTGTGCACTTCTGGATGGAAGGGCTGGTTTGGTCTAGCTTTTTCTTTCTTGGGGTAAGGAATGTTAGATTATTCCAGGATCACAGT